TAATAAATTATTCATTTATCAATAAATAAATAATCTCTTTAAAATAATAGTTTTTTCTAGTCCCAACAATATTCATTTATTGAGGTTTTACTACAATTCGATTCTAAAAGTCCAAATTAATCTTTAATTTAGAAAACATAAGGACCATTCAAACCACCAACCACAATTTGAATTATTGATTTTAGAATTCACCTCCTTCCCTAAACTCAACAATTTAGATTGTTATGAACAGTTCAAACACAATTACTTTTGCCTTTTTTCTCTCTTCAATTTCAAGTTTAAAAATATCATAACCTCTTCTTTCAATTCCAATTGATATTTTTTTTATATGTTCATAATGAAGAGAGGAACAAATCTCCATTCATATTGCATATTAAAATATTTCATTTACAATGAGATTTTATAAAATTTGTAGCAAAACTCTAATGAAAATTTTCAACCCTATCCAAATATGATTCAGGTTTTATTCTCAATTCAAGTTACAATTTATTTGCGTAGCTAACACTTGTTGAAATCGCAATTCAAATCCATGCAATTCAAATTCTACAGTTCAAATAAAAAATGTCTAAATCACCACAATTTGAACTCACGAATTAAATAAATTTTTTTAGCACCACAGGTGGCTTAACCTTTGATGCAAAAGTCTCAATTTTCATTGCAGGTTTCACATCAAGCTGTCTCCTAGTCTAGAGAAAATAAGAATTACATCTTTTGATCTTGTTAAAATTGTCTTGGTCAGGACAATAGACATGTAATTACAAGAATATTATTTTTCGGGTTAATCTCATAAATGGTCCCTGAGGTTTACTCAGTCTTTGAGGTTTTATTTTGTTTCAGTTTTAGTTTTTTTGTTAGCTTAGTATTAAATATTTGACAGAATATGTGAAAATCAAGGACTAAAATTGGAAAAATATTTGACAGAATATGTGAAAATCAAGGACTAAAATTGGAAACATATAAAATTTAGAGACAAAAACAATTCAAAAAAATAAAAGTTAATTTTCACATATAGTCTCAAAAATATTAGTTGTTTTCAAGTTTGATCTTTAATTTATACAAATTCCATTAAATTTGAACACCTAAAACTAAAATAAAATAAAATCTCAGGAACTAACTGTGTGACGTTTAAAAAGTCAGAGACTAAAATACGATTAGAGGTAAACCTTAAGGACCATTTATAAAATTAACCCTTATTTTTCATAATGAGAACAAATATAAGAAGGAGGAAAACAAGATTTAGGCAAAAATGGTCGAGTTAAAAAAAAAAAAAAAAAATTCTATCTCGTAATCGTGCTTTCATGTCTTTAAGCATTGAAGGGGAAAAAAAAATATTTCCTAAAACATTCCTAAAGGAAAACGAAAACATTATACAAGTCTCTTGAAAAATGGGAATATAATATATTGTGTAAATTTATAGTTTCAATTTATGTGTCATGTTTCTGAATAATATAGGGCATTTTCTGTCTAAACTGTAACAGCTGCCATAAATTTGGGGCCAGATAATTTTGCCAAAAATTGAAATATAACATGTCACTTTTTATGAAGATTCTGCATTGGGTACAAAAAAAAATTGACGCTGCTGGTAGAATTTTGATTGTCACATTTCTATTACCTTTTGGGTTCTCTTAATTTTACATAAATATAATTTTGATTAAATTTAATGTTTGAAAGTAGAGCCGTAAGTTTGAGCCGAGTTAAATGGGTCGATCGGAGGCCAGCTACTGTTAGCCTGGGTCCGGTCTTATATTTTTTAGGCTTAGGGCCGGACTATACCGACCCTCTCTCTTTTAGGATCGGGCCGGGTCGGCCCAAACATCATATTTTTAAAGTTTTTTTAAATATCTTATAAAATTTCAAGCCAGAATTTTTGGGCTTATGATTGAGCTGGGATGATCATCTCTCTTTTAAGGCCGAATCGGATCGACCTAAATTTTTTTTTGAGTTGCCAAACCCGGACTGAGTCAGACTAGGCGGTTCAAACTTACACCTCTATTTAAAAGTATGCATTAATGGCAGAGAAACCAATCAAACATCCTATAAAAGGCTCTAACTTTTTAATACGTGGGCAAAAGTACCAAAACTTTTTTTTTTTTTTTTGGTTTTTAAATGGACACCGTCATTTTCTTTCTTAATCGATAAAACTTAGTTTTAACAAATTTTTTTTTTTAAAAAGTTATTTTTCCACTTGCTTTCAGTAGTATCAACTTTCAACCGCCCATTTTCTTGCTCAAAAAGAGGATTGGTATTGTCATCTCGTCCCTGATTCAACTATCACTTGACTATATATTAAGACCATATATAGAACAAAGAGAAACCTGATTTATACTTTCATCAACTTGCATATGGAGAGTCCAATATCACATTAACCTAAGCCACATTTAACAGGCTGATTACAGGTATAATTGCAGTCTCACAGCGGACAATGAAATTAATATTTAGATTATAGGAAAGCGAGCCTTGGCGTTTGGTAGAGGGATTCGTTCCCTGATTCGAATCATGATTCGTGGTTCGCTACAGTATTTTCTCTCACAAAAAATACACGTAAATGGAAAATGTTCGAATCACATGGTTTGAATCCTCCAACCAAACGAACCTTTAGACGGTCTTTTGCCACTATGTTACCACTACTGATGTTTTATCTTCAACCTTTTGTTCTTTCGTGTTTTTTCGTCTTTTAACTGTCGCAACTAGCATTTGCTAAATCTCTCTTGTGGAATTCGACTCTGAACATATTAACCCTGAAAATCTTCAAATTTTCAAAGATGACCTAAATATGGAAACTGAACTTAATCAGATCCTTTAAGATGTGTAGGACGTTCTCTAGAGCGTTGTAATTTCCTGTACTTAAATCGTACCATTCGTGGTTTTTGCAGGCAGTGCTTATATATATATATATATATTGCTTTTGTGGCCAACATAATTGTGGTCTACAAGGCCATTTGGAATCCTTAAGAGAGCTCTTGTTTTATTATCATAAAAAAATTGTATAACTTTGGTCATAACGCAGAGGACATAATAAATCTTTTTATTACTTGAATCCAACAACCAAACCATGCATTGTAAATACAAGGATAACATTAGTGTCATTTTTATTAAACAATGTTCCGCATTAATAAAAGCAACAACCTCTAACTCAAACAGTTGGTGTTAGATTCTTACAGCAAAAGTTGTACTATATAATATAAAGAGAATGAGTGAAATAGCATATTTGATAGGGTGATATTGGGATATTTGATAGCATATGTATCTATATATATATATTGAATATATATTTAGTCTAATATTAGGATTCAACAGAGAAGTTAGAAAAGCAATATACAAAATAAAAATTACTAGCAAAAGTTGCACTATATAATATAAAGAGAATGAGTGAAATAGCATATTTGATAGGGTAATATTGGGATATTTGATAGCATATGTATCTATATATATATATATATTGAATATATATTTAGTCTAATATTAGGATTCAACAGAGAAGTTAGAAAAGCAATATACAAAATAAAAATTACTAGCTGGTGTATAATAAGGACCCTATTTGTACGCACTTGCCGTTGATTACAATAGAGGAAGGACGGCCTTAATTAATGCACTTCCAAACCCACCTATCTGATTTTATACAACTGCCGTGTAGAGCCATATTGACAGATCTACCCTTCACATTTCTCTACCCAAATTTTGTACTTGGGAGTTTATTCTAAACATTGAGTGAATTGGCAAGTTGCTCTTTTGAACTTTTAATTGTGGTAAATTACTTCCTGAATTTAAATAATATTTTGCAAAGTACCCCAAAATTGACAATTATATTAAAATTCAGAAAGATTCGTCCTCACGCATGTGACATGACATGTTCTGATCATCGTTCGAAGTTTTATTTTCTTCTCTCGAATGATCTCCTAAAAATGTGGGAGTTTCCATCCAAATCTTAATAGCCGTCGTCAATTTGAGAATGTTGTAATACTGTGTTAAATACCTTATTATTAAGGGTATGATGGTAATTTCAAAGACGAAAAGTCTAGGAAACTTCAACCAATTCCAAACAGCAACAACTACCATCATTGAAAACTGTCAACGACCATAAGCACCAAAAGGAAACATAGCACTTCAAAATTTACTCCTTACCAGAAAAACGCCAAGGGACGCTAGACAAAGTCTTTAACTCCAGTTCCTAACAAGTTTTCCACTTTGATTGCCTTGTCAAGGCTCTTTTCTCTTTGTTTCTCTTCTCCTCAACCCAAAGCTCTATGAAGTTCTTCTTTAGGCTTCAAATTTCAATTGCTCACTAGCAAAGCTTCTCAAGCAATGTCACCACAAGGCGTAAAAATTGCCAAGACCATTGCTGCCACGGCTGCAATTACTCTAGTCTTTGCTTCCATCTTCCTCTTCTTGTACTTCAAATTCTACGTTTCTCGTCGCCGTCGAGAAAAGAACAAGGTGAACGGGAGCTTTCGTCGAGAGGATGTTGCGATGGCTAGTCATCAAGAGTTGAAGAAATCATGTAGAAATGTTAAGGAAATGAATGATTATGGAAATGGGATGGATTCTTTGAGCCTAAGGAAACTAGAAGGTGGGCAAGTCAAGACTAATTTCCCAAAATTTGTGTTTAATCCGAGTTACAATGGAGAAGAGGAGGAGGAGGAGGAGGAGGAGGAGGCTGAAGAGAAGAGAGTGGACGCTGAGGGAGAGAAAAACCGCGAAAAGTTTAAGCCTCAGGAAGCTCCATTATTGCTCCATGAATTGTCATCTGATCTCATAGTTTGTGATGAAGTTGGGAAACCTGTTGTGCATAGTCCAACTTCATCACAATCTTCTGAAGCCTCTTTTACACTAACCCCACCTATAGTGCCTAAAAAGCTAACCCCATTATCACAAGTTACTAATAGTCTTACACCTCCACCACCACAACGTTCCCCACCTCCTCCACTGCCGCCACCTCCACCGCCACCACCAGTGCCACCGCCACTTCCATCAAGAGCGAAACCTCCACTGCCGCCCCCAATAACTACACCGACTGGTTGGATATCGTCGCGGAGAACTCCAATTGCTACCAATGGGAGAGCAACTAAGAGGAACAACATTAGACCAGAAGCAGCTTTAACAGAAGAGAGCTCAAATGGGAGCAATATTGTTGGGCAAGTGAAACTGAAACCGTTGCATTGGGACAAGGTCACGGCAGATGTTGATCACTCCACGGTCTGGGACGAAATCAATGATGGCTCACTGAGGTAATCATGCATTGATTCTGAATTTTGTAAATTCAAATCCTATTTATCACACAGAAATATTAACGATTGTGACAAAATTATAAAATGGGGCAATATGGATTTCTCAACATGTGGTATGAATATCTTTGGTTGGGCTGAAATAAGATAACAAAATTTAACAGAAGATTTGTCATGTGAGACCAAGATAGAGAAGTTAGAGAGTAGAAAGATCAATTATCAAGGTCTAAAGAGGAAATACAATCGCCAATGTAAAGAATTAGGTGCAATAATTCTATACTGCCACTAACAATAAAATTGCAAGAAAGAAAAAAAGAGAGAATTAAAAACGGCATAAGATTTATAATGGTTCACTCTCATAGTCAATCATGTGTTATTTCTGGGTTAGAGGGTAATAATTAGGCTCAACAACTTAACAACCAGATCTTTATAGCTTTAATAAAAATAAGATAAACGTAAAACGTTATAATAACAGAAACTTGAATAAATCTTAAACAGTTCTAAATTTAAACTTATTTATATCTCTTGTTCCTTATCAATCTGCCGAATTGTAGTAATCTCTTTTCTTTGTGCTATTCAGATTTGATGATGAACTAATGGAAAACCTATTTGGTTACTCCACAACAAACCGCCAATCTTCCGAAAGAAACAACATTTTCACAGCTTTCACCAAATCATACTCAAGCCCTCCAACTCAAATCTTCATTTTGGACCCCAGAAAGTCTCAGAACACAGCAATTGTCCTAAGATCTCTCGCCACCTCTCGTCGAGAAATCCTCGATGCCCTCGTAGATGGCCAGGAGCTCAGCCTTGAGACCCTCGAGAAGCTCACCAAGATATCTCCAACACAAGAAGAGGCATCCAAGATCCTCAACTTCAATGGCAACCCGAGTAAGCTTGCCGACGCAGAGTCCTTCCTCTACCACATCCTCAAATCTGTTCCCTCTGCGTTTACGCGCCTCAACGCGATGCTGTTTCGAGCAAGCTATGATCCTGAAATCCTCCACTTCAAGGAGTCCCTCCAAACTCTTGAATTGGGTTGTCAGGAGCTAAGATCTCGCGGCCTCTTCCTTAAGCTCCTCGAAGCCATTCTCAAGGCAGGCAATATAATGAATGCCGGAACTTCAAGAGGCAATGCACAAGGATTCAATCTCAATGCTCTGAAGAAGCTCTCTGACATAAGAAGCAACCATGGTAAGACTAGTTTGCTTCACTTTGTTGTCGAACAAGTTGCTCGGTCGGAGGGAAAACGCAATCTGATTAACGAAAATTACCAAAACAGAATTAGTACTAATACTAATCAAAGAACACAAAACGTAGATATTACTCTCAAAAAAGAAGAGAAGGACAAAGAGTACTTATTGTTGGGATTGCCAATGTTAGAAGGCCTAAGTAAAGAGCTATCCAATGTAAAGAAAGCAGCTACAATAGACTACGAAAGTTTCTCCACCACTTGTAACATTCTAAGCTCAAAAGTAGCCGAGATTCGGAGACTTTTATTGGGCTGCAACGACGGCGACGACAAAGGTTGGTTTGCGAGGGAAATGAAAGGATTTTTAGAGGAGTGCGAGGAGGAGATAAAGGTGGTGAGAGAAGAGCAGAACAGGGTTTTGGAGATTGTGAAAAGGACGACAGATTATTACCAAGCCGGGGTTTCGAAGGAAAGAGGTGTTAATCCGTTTCAGCTGTTTGTTATAGTCAAGGATTTTCTTGACATGGTTGATCAAGTGTGTGTGGAAACTTGTCGCAAGATGCAGAAGAAGGTCAACGTTACGAGTACTAATGGTATTGCAGGGTCGGGTTTGTCGACGTCGCCGCCACTTTCTCTGTCGACGAGGTTTTCGAATTTCAAGTTTCATTTCATGTCGGACATGTCCCTGACGTCTTCGGATAGTGATTTGGAAGATGAGTTCTGAATTGCAGGCAGGGACGGCGTTGCTGTGTAGGGGATTGAATAACAAGAGAAAACGAAGATGTGATTTTTTATTTTATTTTATTCAAGGACCCTACCATAAGATAACAATGGATTAATGTAATAGTCTGTGCACTTTGTCCTTGCTCAAGTCGTTATTCTTCGGAGATTCTCTAAAATACATAAATACAAAAAGAATTATCTTGTAAGTTTATTAAGTTGGGAGCTCTATGGTAGGGTCTCTTATTGGTAGTGCATATTTTTTTTACCTTTAAATCTAGTTAAAATTACATTAAAATAGAAAAAGAAATTTCTCTGGTATTTACTCTTTTTTGAAAACACCGATATTTCTTGTTTATCAGTCGTCGAATTTATATTACATTTTTAATCTGATTTGATTTTTAATTAGATTTAATACAGATCTGAGTCGACAGTTGATAAGCAGAGAATACCAGTGTTCTTAAGAGAGAACACTAGAGAAAGTCACAATAAAAAAAATACTAAACAGATAGTTTTTGATACAAATCATATGATTAAAAAAATAAAGACTTGCTAGAAATCTCTAAAAAGAAAAAAAAAAAAAAAGACGATAAATGGATAAAGTATAAACAAAAACTAAACAAAAAAAACTCTTGATCACTAGGAAGTTGAGGTTAAACTTAAGTCCCATGATTCCCTGGATACTCTTGGACAAATATGTCTACGTGTACACACTTTTAAATCCCTTAAATACGTTTCTAAGATGTTGCCCAAATATGGTTTTTTGATTATAAATGTCATTAATCCGAGCCAAATACACAATACTAAACCCAAAGCTATCACCATCTTGAAAGTCCTTGCAAGCTATTCAAATCAAGAAATTAGGTTACAATAGTTGAAAATTTGCCCAAAAATAGTAAGAGCATTGAGAAGAAAATTTGAAATCTTGTACTTATACGTTATTACAAAATACTTTAGGTTAGTAGTGATGACTAGTTGTTAAAAAAATTTATGGTCCAATTTGAAATTACTTTTAAAGAATTTAGAGGGGCATAGTGGTAGTTGAAACTTTATAGTAGTTGGTGGAGGATCATAATGGTTTATCCGTTTTCTAAATAGTACAACAACAGATGCCGGATTTCTGAAACAGGGGCACAAAATTAAAGAAGTGAATTAAAGATTGCAGATTTTCTAATTTTTTCAACACTTGTGTAGTCTTTAAAAATTCTTGACACGGGACCTCTTTTTTGTTTCTTTTGCTTGTGCAATTGGAGAAGAAAACTAGTGGTTATATTTTTAGGGTGTTTCTACAGTCGGTCCACTATTGTTGGATGAATTGAGGCTTTGTTCACTTTGTGGATTCGAATTTTTAATTTGATTTGAGATGTTATATTTTCTGAGAGCTTTTCACTATAACAGAAAAAGTTAGATGTGACATTTTCTGAGAGTTTTTTACTATAGAAACTTAAAATTGAAAACTCGAATCGGTAAAATAAACGAGGCCTGAGTCATCTTGTTAATTTGAATCTTTGACCTGAAATTGTATGATCAAGATTGAGTGAAGGGTAATAGGACAAGTGACAAAAGTTACCGGTTGAACTTTTTAATATATATTTTTTATATAATTTCTTTTAATGGAAGGGTTATTCCCAAAACCCTGTCGTTTTTGGGCTTGTTAACATAGTAGCAAGGTTGGAAAAAAAAAAAGAAATTGAAGGTTACGGTTTCTTTTTTACAATTCAATCTAGTTAGGATTACACTAACAGAGGTTAATGACGGTTTCTCTCACTAATGATTAATAAAAATAAATTTTCAGCTATACATAATTCGATTATGACAAATAACAGTTTCACATTTTCACTTTTAACTATATTCATAGCGTTCGCGTGCGTAATTTTTTTCCCGACTGTTTACGTGTTAATAATACGTTGATACTGACTTACAATATAGCCACAAACATCGAGACCTAGTCATCCTTAAAAATGATTTTAAAAAAACCCGTCGACTTGTTAACATAATACCTTCATTTCGTACAACTTTTTATTTCGTTTTTTTCCTCTTTATCTGCTCAATGTCGTCAAGCTAGTTTACGTCTAAAAAATAAAAATTAATAAAATAATCCATGACCTGCTAAACTTATACCTCGTTCACTTCGCGGATTCGAGTTTTCAATTCGAGCCGAGATGTGGCATTTTTTGAGAGCTTTTCACTGTAGCAGAAAAAGTTAGATGTGACATTTTCTGAGAACTTTTTACTGTAGAAACCTAAAATTGAAAATTCAAATCAATGAAATGAACGAGGCCTTAGACACCCAAAACCAGCCTCGATAGCTTCTATAGTGGAACTCTATTGTTCTACCAAACTGGATGAACTTTTTTTATCCTTTTTCGTTGTCTTCTTTTATTCAAATTTGCATTTTCGTACACTTAAAATTCTAGAAATCAAACATAATTTTACTTTTTCAACGTAAGGATTTTAATACTACAATAATCATTTCATCATCAATTATTTATGATCTTTTCGATTGAAGAGAACAAAGCAATTTTGATAAGTGAATTGCCCAAAATTCAGTGGCAAAGTACTGTCTTAAGTAAGAATAATAACAGTACCAGTGACAATGAAAAAGAGGTTAAGACCAAAGACTTTTGTGGGAGGTTTATCTGCTATTTGCTATTCTAACTTAAGACGAGTTTTAGAATTACTTTGAACGCTTTTGTGGTATAATAGATATTCAAAATAAAATTCTCAAGATCACTTTTATAATTGCATATTCAATACTCAAACTCCTCCCGTAAAAGCACGTTACATGTTATTTTATGCTGAAAACTTAACAGAAAGAGAGAATTTGTAACCGTTCACAAATTCGTGGTAAACATATATTACAAAATTAAGCTTGGGGGTAATTTTTTAATAAGGCTTATAGTTCGGAGGTTAAACGTATAATTTATCATAACTAAAAAAATCCGGTCTGCAACACTCTTCATTAACATGTTACTTTGTAGATGCCAAAATGTTATCTTGTCTAGCACAAGAAATCAACCATTTTTTTTGAGATTTTTAAAATCATTTTCTACCCATGAAATGTCTCTTTCACCACAATTATATCACCTTAATTACATCATTGCCACATGAACAGTATCTCAGCAACCAATGATAGTCGGTAAGTTGGCGCCCCTAATTCTCCGTTGTAAGTTGGCGGGGTAACAGTTGTTTCTCACCTCTCCTGTGGCCACGCGTGGAAGAATCCGTCCGTCACAAGGATCCTATGCCTATATTTTTATGCTATTCAAGGGCATTATGGTTTTTTTTATTATATTTTTCATTGATAGTAAATTATGCCCGCAACATACGAAACAAAAACATCAAATTTACAGGATGAAATTTTAGTTTTAAAAATAAAAGAATAGATGTTTTAGAAACGTAAAACAAGAAAATATATAGGGACTTTTTTTTTCTGACAATCTTTGTAAAAATATACTATTAATAGTCTCTTACTTTTCAGCCGTTAGATTTGTATTAAAATTTATTTATTATACATATTTTTTTAATTTGACGTGATTTTTGACTAAATTTAAAGATTAAAAACTAAGAGTATTAGTTATTTTTTCAGATTTAATCCAGGGAAGACTTCAGAGTTGACCTTTTGTTTTCCAAAAAAAAAAAAAAAAAGTTAATACATAAAAGGACATGAAATTTCTTAGAGTGAAATTACCGATGGTGATAAACAATCGACTCCCTAAAACAATTATAGTCGCAATAGTTCAATTTTTTTTCAAGTTGTTATTTGTTACTCAACATGAGACCCCGCGTAGGTTTCATTGCTAATCTCCTTTTCTTTTATTTGTTTTTCTTTTCTTTTTTTCTTATAATTGAATCTCCTTTTCTTTTCCTTCTTTCTTATTGTATTCCATTTTTACTTGAACATTATTATATCAATTGACATTTCAACAGTGTGCAGTAAAGTAAATAGAAAATGAGGGATGTTTTCATGCACCTTTTGTTCCACCTCAATTTATTTCTTTCGTGATGGGGATTAAAGAAGTTGCCTAGCAAACTACAGAGGAACTGCCACGAAAGTAGCATTCAACTTTTTGAGCCTACCAAATGCGTATCTAGCTAAGAATTTTGGTTAGGAAAATGAGAGTTTCTATAGTAGGGCCCTCTATAAATATAGACCAGTTTTTTATCGTTAAATTTAGTCAAAATTATATCAGATTAAAAAAATATGTATGACAAACAATTTTTGATATACTTATGACTAAAAATAAAAAACTAACAGTAGTTTTTTTTTTTTTTTTTTGTACTACCGGAAAAACTCCTTAGGAAAATATGTAAAGTTGAGCATTCCTATATTCTAAGGTCACGTTTGTTCCGTGGGTTCAAATTAATGGGTTTGAACTTATATGCGGGTTTATGTGGTTTAAACTGGCGTTTAAAGGTATAAGGTCTAAACAAACAATAAAATTTTAACCAGCGTTTTGTTAAATTATTAGAACTTAGGTTTAAAAAAAATGTGAGTGAAAATGGTTGGTGGGAACCTTTTAGTTAGTTTCGTGAATAGTGTTTTGGGTTAGAAGAATTTAAAGGGAGATAAAGTTCTTTTCAACCTTTAATTTTGAGTTCAAATAAAGGCCTCGTTCATTTTACCGATTTGAGTTTTCAGTTATAGATTTCTACAGTAAAAAGCTCTCAAAAAATGTCATATCTTAACTTTTTCTGCTACAATGAAAAATTATCAGAAAATGTCACATCTCAGCTCGAATTGAAAATTCTAATCCGCGAAGTGAACAAGGCATAAATCTAAGTTCAAACTCAAAATGTCATGCAATCAAAAAAGGGTTTGAACCCACTTTTAGGTTCAAAGTTCAAACCCATCTAAACCGTCCAACAAACAGGGGGTAACTTGAACCAATCGTATGCGTTGTTTCTCTCGTTGTCCTCTCTAATTTTTGTGGTAATAGCTAAAAAGAAATCTCAAGTCAACAGACAAGGGGACAAGAGCCGAATTATTAATTGTCCTTATTTTCTTTAGAATTATTAATTGTCCTTATTTTCTTTAGAATTATTAATTGTCCTTCAAAAATAAAACCCGAGAGTTAATTAAGCTTCCCCTCAAAACAGCTTTTCTTTGATTTTTTTTTTTTAAAAAAAAAATTGTTCTTTACTCATTGAATTTTGTATAAATTTTGTTAAATCTAACTGTTTTATTTCATTCTTCATATTTCAACAAAGTTGTTACATTGTGGAATCTAGCTTTTTTGCTAAAGAAAATAAAGTTATAGAGATAAGATGACATATTCGAATAATTTTTGAGTAGACAGTGCATCTCCGCATGACATATGGAATTCTTATAAAGTAGCTTGCTTATATACCTTGTCCTATGCATTGGACTGACTAAAACATGAGATTTAATTGAGAAGAACGAGTAAGATTACCACCCTACTAAATGATCGGTCGTATCGAGGACTCAAAATGATTAATCCTACATTATCACATTTAAAAGTAGGGGATACAAAATGACGTTTATTATGTACAACAATGACTTTAAAAATGTGTAATTGATCTAGGATAGATACAATTTTTGTCTATATATTTACAATAACATTGTTACACAGAATAAACCTAATGTTGCGGTCTCTGTTTCTACCTGTTATATATGTAAAAGGACTTGAGCTTTTACCCATAATGGCAGTGAATCCTGGTGTGTTTGGAAGATGGGTTCAAACTAACCTGGTTTGAATTCAAATAATTTTTCTCTTGAAAAAAAATTTAAATAAAAAATTATGCTATAATATTTTCTTTCAAAAAATTTAAAATTCTGATTCAAACCATCTTATTTGAGCTCACCTTCCTGACGGACCCTTCATGTTTTAGTAGTAGTTGTTATCAAGTTTAGCTGGTAGTGGTAAAAAATTAGCGTACGGTATTGTTTTTTGTCCCAACTTGGTATAATTATAATGTTCTTTCAGATGGTAGATAGGAAGGTGCGCAACTTTTTCCTGTATTCTGCTTTTAATGATCAATCTAACAATTACAAAAGGATTTCCAAGAAGGAGCATAAACACTTTCTGACAGATTCCAAGGAAATTTTTTGTAAAATTCCTATTCATTGGTTCCTTTTCCAATTTGCACAAAGGAAGTTCGTGGTATCACATAATTGGAATAAGAACTAAGAAACATGTTTTTATTTCATTTTTCCTATTGGTCTCTGCTTGCAACCGAGTCAACTATTGTTCAAAAAATAAAACAAGGCAAAGTCAACTGAATAAAAACCAGTGAAGTCATGAAGCTTCAAATGACAAAAATGGACATCATTTAGATCCAATTTCCACCTTGCACACATTATTACCTCAACAATACCCAATATAAGTAAAGGGCATTTCTTTGAGACTCGCCATCTTATATATCTACCAAATTGAAGGAAGAAAACAAAGCAAACAAAAGCATCTGAACTCAAAAAAGAAGAATACCCAAAAAGAATATATTTTTCATTTCGGAAGTATGGTGACAGAAGAGCTTATCAACAAGGCCTTTTCTGAGGCCATGGCAGCTCATAAGTATCCAGATGAGGAATTTCTGGAAAAGAGAGGTTCTTCAGAAGTTATTTTCAGCTTTCCAGGATATTGGTCTGTGAAGGATTGGTATAGTGAAGGAGCCTTTGGAGAAACCGGGATCGATTCGGCTTTCTTTCCGTCTCTCAGAAGCATTGGCAACAATGAATATGCAGTTGTGAATAAAGCTTTTCAGGAAAGATTTAAACTAGTTGCAGAGAGATCTCAGCTACGGAATAGGGTATGGTGTTTGTTCATAATCTTTAACTCACTTTTTTTTTTGTTGGTCCCCATGTTTTCGGAGAATTCCGAAATCGTTACCGGTAGGACACAGTTATGAACCTTCAGATCTTCAACAACTTTCATTGAAGTCTGATTAATGGTTCACAATTGTGTCTTACTGGTAGAGAATTCTCAGAATTCTCTTCTAAAATTTATCCAAAACACCAGCTATTTAGTAGAATTCATCAAGATATATTACTCAGTCTATACATCGTGTATGTATATTTGTTGTAGTCTTGACTCTTTTAAGCCATAGGAAAAATTAAACTAGTAGTTGTGAAATCCTCAAAAGAGTACTTGCTTTTGATCCACAACAGCAAAGTAGACTTACAGCAAAGTAGACTTTTAGGAGTTAACAAAATTTGTAATATTATCCAAAGAGTATTATCGTTGATTTGGCTTGTTCTCAGGTGGAAGAGGCTGTGAGAGACAACATGCAGATAGTATTCACAGGGCACTCTTCTGGTGGCCCAATCGCAGTGCTCGCCGCAATTTGGCTCTTGGAAGACTATGCGAAACAAAAGTCTCAAACGCTAATCTCACCTCTCTGTCTCACTTTTGGATCTCCCCTCATAGGAAACCACATCTTTTCTCATGCTCTCAGGCGAGAGAACTGGTCTCGCTACTTCTTCCATTTTGTCACGAGATCTGACATAGTCCCTCGTGTTTTTCTCTCTCCTCTTCCATCCAACGAACAACATTTTCAGCTACTCCTAGAACACTTCAGACTACAATCCTTATCAACAAGCCGCGGATCTCATGGAGCACCCAAATTCGCTTATGATTTCTTCATCAATGTGATGAGGAATGCCTTGACCCTTACAAGTCATGTTGCTTGTAAGTTGATGGAGAGTTCGAATCTTTTGTTCGAAACTGTGACCAGCTTTATTAAGCTGAGTCCTTACAGACCCTTCGGAACGTACGTCTTCAGCAATGGGAACGGGAAGGTTGTGACCTTGAAGAACTCGGATGCCGTTTTGCAGCTCTTGTTCTACTCTTGTCAGCCGAGCAGTGAAGACGGTAGAGACATTGCCCAAAGAAGTTTCACAGAGCATTTTGCATACGAGAATGAGCTGTTGCAAAGCTTCAATGGGTATATTTCCTTGGATGGTGAAATAGAATCAACTGATGAGTGCAATGACATGATTAACAAGGCTGCAGACGACATAGGACTCGTAAGCTTTCCAAGATTCAGCCTCGATGATTTTTTTTTTTTTTTCGTGTCAAATTCTGTGCTTTGGAAATGTTTTTAAAACTCAATGCTCAAAAGATTTGTTAACGGTCATTCACATGAATTGCAGAGCACAAGAGGTAGGCTGTGCCTACTTGCCGCCGGAGAATCGGAGACACAAAAGAAAAAAAACAAAGATAAAATGGATTCTAAGAAAGGACCTACTGAAAAAGCATTGAAAGAAATAGAGAACTACAAAAACAAGTGTGCGGTTCACAAGGTGGGGTATTATGATTCATTCAAGCTTCAAAAGAATGAGGAAGACTTCAAAGCGAACGTGAAGAGGCTCGAGCTAGCGGGCATCTTTGACGAGATGATTGAAATGTTGAAAGGGTATAAACTCCCTGATCAATTCGAGGGACTGAAGGAGTGGATAGACATCGGAACTAGGTACCGCCGCCTTGTTGAGCCCCTAGACATTGCCAACTATTACAGACATGCAAAGAATGAGGACACCGGGAATTACATGAAGAATGGCAGGCCTAAGCGTTACAGATACACGCAAAGATGGCGCGAGCATGCAGAAAAGATGCGAGAAGAATCAAGTGGGGAGTCCTGTTTTTGGGCGGAGGTGGAAGAGCTTTGGACTTTAATGAAGAAACAGCCAAGTGAGCAGAAAACAGCTAATTTTGGGGCGAGGGCTTTGAAGGTGCAAAAAGAAGTATCTCAATGGGGACAAGATAAGGTAATACAAACCGATGTGTTCTTGAATGGTTCCACTTTTGTCAAATGGTGGGAATCACTTTCCTTCCCAAACAAGTTAGGAGAGATCGAACAACTCCTCAATGGGCTAAAAAACTGACGTTGCATCATCACCATTGGATTGGAATTCAACTAATTATGGTATTAGGATTCGTGTGGTTAAAAATTTTTCCTGTTGTCAAGTGTGTTGGCTGTAAAATAACAAATAAAATATCTGGATGTTTATTTGCATGTGACTGTTTGAGTTGTAGTTTTGGGCTTTTTAAATTAGCTATGTAAGATATGGAATGCGGTTCATCAACAACGACAAGGGAAATTCTCAAGAATGTCCTCAGAAAATAACACTTTTATTTCTACCATCAATTTTAAAATTTATCATTTATTCATTTATGCTATTAATATTCTGATAGAATATCGTTCCTACTTTACTAGAATATTTTTTAATGGCATAAATTATAGAAGGATAGAAAATAATGGCTATTCTTGTAATTTTATCTAACAATATAAGTATAGACGGCAACACGGTCAAATACGTTGAAGATGAAAGATGATGCCATGATTCTTAAAAGTTAAAAATAGATTTCCAAGTCCGAATTTAAAGCAGAATCGCAGGTACAAATGTCCCGCTACACCATAAGACGAATGCCAAACCAAGTGCATGTCTGGCCAATAACAGAAGATGAGTTTTCAACTTACAATCATCATTAAGATATCAATATAATTATATGCAGAGGTTAGTTTATACATGAACAGAAATATCATCTTAGAATCAAATCAACACCGTTCTCTAACAACGTACCGCAGGAGTGCGATCGCTATTCTTACGGTTTGAAACTCGTCGTAAATACAATTTCCTCGTTTCTGCATATTAAAGTTTCAGACTGTAGTATAAAGATGGTCACGATACTCTACTTGCAAACTGGCTTCTGTGTTTCGTAGCTGGATGGGAGCTTCCTAGAATTTTATCAGCCCGTTATGCTTAATTTCCTGGACAGCCTCCTTATACGACAGCAATATATATTCAAGAGAGAAAATTGGTTCTTACTTTTTCTGTTTCTTTTATGCTAGAGGAAAGGAGATCAGCCAAGGTCGTTAGGAGAATACAAGATAATATAAAACAAAAACGCACATTTGATATTTCAGAAACTTTCAATTCAATAAGCAATTTTGTGTAGAACAAACCAACCTTCAATTGCCAACTGATCCAAAAGTTTGTCATACGATCTCTTCATATTGTGATGAGATTTGAGGTATCAATGCCTCCCAACTTATAAAGCCTAAAACAGTACTTATCCTTGACAAACTTGATCGGGTTTCGTGATTTCCCTAGAATGATCGTTTAGAGCATGACTCTCCCTCCTACCACTAACAAGCATCACTTGGATATCTTGATATGCTTTTGGAAGCCAAAGTTCATTACTGAGACCTGCAGTTAGCTGTTTACCTATATCTTTCATTGTCCACAATCGGCTATCTAAAATCAACAGAGCAACATCTAATACCCCTCTACATAACCTCATGTTTGTGGCCCGGTTCTCCCGGTTATGTTTCACTCATGTTCTGGTTCTTTTTAGGCCAATTAAGAAATGTAATGGTCAAATATTTAAGAATCAGCCTCTTCTGGATCACAGCCAGGAACTCAACTTAAGAGCTGAAATACCTAAAACGCTGCTATGGCTTCTACCTTTCATTAAACACTCATTTGCACTTGACCCTATCAAAGAACAAATGATAGCTGAGGGATGCCAATGACCACTCAAATCCACAATGACAAGTAGCCACGCAGAAACCTCAGCGAGTGAACCCAGAAACAATCCTCATCAGAATTAGCACTAATACGTTCACAATGGTTATCCATTCTTGCCTCAAAAGCTAAAGTCTAAAATCCTGAAGATTATATAAGCCTTGCCAAAGTGAACCATTACGTGAAAGTGCCAAAAACCATTACTTAGCATGCAAGTGTAGTTAAGGGACAGTTATTACAAAACAGTAGCATGTAAACGTAATCTAGATAAAAAATGAATGCTACAACTAACCTTTGTGTGTTCTAAAACAATCAATTCTCACCTAAAGAGCTTAGAGACTGCTATAACCCTTGGGTAGAACTCATCCCCAAAAGTTAGCTTGTAGGGAGAGGGTGCCCAAGTGGTTATAAACTCACATGCTAAGCCCATACATTAGCAATGTGAGACTCAACCAGGATCCTAACATACCACCACGCTTCCGACACCGACGTCCATGGCGGCCCACTCTGGATGGCCCCTCTGGCCTTTCCAGGTCGCCCCTCCCTAGGTCACCCCTTCCGTAACGTGGCCCTGAGATGGGGCATGCTCTAATACCAATTGTTATAACCCTTGGGTAGAACTCATCCCCAAAAGCTAACTTGTAGGGAGAGGGTGCCCAAGTGGTTATAAACCCACATGCTAAGCCCATACTTTAACATTGTGGGACTCAACCAGGATCCTAACAGAGACTCGAGAGAATCCTTTCACTTTTTGCCTAACTCAATAGCAACACACTATGTCATCAGCTAAAGCATTAGTAAGCAGTCATAATGTCCTTGAGATACGCCTCTAAGTGAAAAGAAATAGTTGAAACGACACACACAGAATTAATCAGTAAGTCAAGTAGTCAACAAAGCAGAAAGAATTAAAAATTGACAAAAATTATAAAGATGGCTTCTAAATGAAAATGCAAGTCATCAAGTAAAAAAAAAAGGGATAAAAAGTCGATAAATAGGAACTAACGAGGAATAACATAAACGTAGTGTATTATTATTTCATGTATTGAATTCCTATACCACCATATGTATTCACATACGAACAATGTCCTCTACATTAGCACATGCACCATACAGATAAGAACCAAACTCAAAAGAGAAGCGCTCAATTCTCGGGTGCTCAAGACCCTATGTCCACATCTAACTAGCAAAATCAAAGTCTCTAATTATACTATTGCAACGCGCAACACAAGACACGCACAAAAGTAAAAATAGAATAACATAAAGAAGCAAATGCCAACATATATTAACTCATGAAAACAGAGACCCTAAGACCTTGTAATCATGCTGCAAGAACGAGCCAACCGGAATGTAAGGCTACCTCCAGGCACCCTCGCCTCTCTCTCAACAGCGTTACGCTCATAGGGCTTCCGGCAGCCAGGGCAGCGACCATCCTCGTCTAGGATCCTCTTATGGCAGAAGAGACAGAGCCGGAACCCGCACAAACAAGGCAAAAAGCTCGTGTCCGTCAAGTCCAAATCTTCATAGCATATTGGACACGAAGACGGCGGAACCATTATGTTGTTGCAGGCCCATGGGACGCCTCCACAGCCATAATGTTGCCGGTCCGAGTTGGGCAAGCTAAGCTGCTTAGATAAATTGGGCAAGCTCTGAGGACGAAAGGCATCATCCGGCCTCCAAGCTCTGCTATTCCCTGCACTCCTCGGCTCCGTTCTTGTAAACTCTGGTTTCGAATTTCCACCTGAAACCCCATTGGTTGCTTGACAAGCAGAAACCGTTTCGGAAATCTGTTCGCGCTCCGGAGGAGATTCTGAGCATTGATTTTCCTGCTTGTCATTGGCGGCCAAGGCGTCTGCCACGGCCTCCCAGTCATCCAAGCAACCGTCGTCTTCTTCTTCCTCCTCCGTGATACTCCCAGAGCAACAACCACCACTACTGGTGCTGCTGCTACTGCTGCTGCTAGAACCAGTAAAGTTCGTCCCCGAATCGTTGCCGCCCAAGACACCACTGTTCAGGCTGGTCGGACTGGAAGACAGGGACTCCAAATCGCTGTCGTTGTGGTGGATCAATCCGTCGTTTTCTCCCCCTCTCGACCTCGCCTCCAAATTCCCTAACGAACGATTGTTCTCCTTGTTGCCAGTTCGAACGCCGTTCGTTTCCTCCTTGCAACACTTGTTCTTGACCGCGCCTAATGGCATCAAATCCCAAACGAAACAAATAAAACACAGAATGAAGGGGAAAAAAAAAACCTCAAACATCCCAAAATAATCATGCAGATAATGCAATCAGAGAAATCCGAATCTTTAATTTGTGCATATCAACAAAGACAAAATCAGAAAGATCGATCAAAGGCGTACCTTGCGAAAGCCATTGCTCGCGACGAACATCAAGCTTGCACTGCTTCAATTTGGCGGTCCTCGCCTGAAAATCGCGCCAGGAAAAACAACAGAAATTGAGGAGATTGAGCCAAAATAATCACAAAATGACAAAAAAAAAAGAAGAATTATTGAAAAGATTGAAGTGAAACGTAGAAGACAATTGAAAAGCTAAAGATGAAGTGAAATCTCACCCTCTTCTTCTTGCCCAAATCCTTAGAGTTGTAGGCTGCCGAAGGAATCGAAGCGTTCGCGACCGAATCGGAAATCATGGCTTCTCAATCGTTGGATTCAAATTTGCTTCCTTAAAGATGAAGGATTTGCGGCCAAAAACCCCCCAAAAAAATTCGCAAGGAGAGATGATTTTCTAGAGAGAGAAAATATTTTTTAGAGAGAGAAACTGAATGGATAACGGAAACTCCTCTGCTCCTCTCGCCCTTTTCCAGAGTTGCAGAACTGGAGGCCGAAGTTAGATTTATAAAGCCGCTAAGTTATGAAAATGTCCCTGGTTTCTTCCTTAATTTTCAAGATTAACCATCGTGATGAAAAGGATTTTGGGTAAGATCGAGGGGAGATATTTTAAGCAAGAGGGTTATCTTCGTAAAGTCGCAATGGCTAACTACGTACCTCGTCGTTTATGGAACGGGGAGGATTTTAAATACGACGTCGTCGCAGGAATCGTAGATGTTTTTTCTTTCATTTTTTATCTTTTATTTTATTTTTATTTCATTTTTTATCTTTTATTTTATTTTTGTTTGGTTTATTTTCCCAAAGAGTCATTAACCTCTAATTAATTATCCAAGAATTCTGACTTGGGATAACTTCGGGGGTAGAGGCATTAATTACCCTATTGAATTTGCATGAAGGAGTGGATTTTTATATTAATATCTCACTTCTTTTTTTTTTTTTTGGAAGGAATTTAAGATCTCACTTTTCAGAACATTTTAATATTAATATTAATATCTCGCTTTCATTATGTGCAATACAGCTTGATTTTCGCAATCTATTCTCTTGTTTCTACATTTTCCAATCCAGCTCGTAACCATTTGATGTATAAATTTAGACTCCGTTTATTTAATTAATTTGAGTTTAAAATTTGAGTTTTGTTACAGTAAAAAAATTTTAAAAATAATTACATTTAATTTTTTTATTATAATAAAAAAAATTTATATAAAATTACATCTCAATTTCAATTAAAAATTTAAATTAGCGATCTAAATAAGCTCCTAATATCTTGTCGATGTATTCTCAAAATCAAAAGGAAAAAAAATACTTTCTTTGTACCAAAAAGAAAAAGGTTGTCCAAATCTATTATCTCGATTTTCGGTCACATTGCGTGTGTTCTTATACGCTATTTTAACAACTCATTTAATTGTTTAAATGATTTTAGTATTTTGTATTTATTATGTATGGCATTCTCAAAATTTAGATGATGTGGTAGAGCGCTATTGGTGAGACAATCAATAGGATAGAATAATCGGAACAATATATCTCAATTCAAGTTATTAATGTTGTTTTCTCATTGCCAAAAAAAAAAATGATAAAATCTTCCTTTCAAAACAATAAGAAATGCATAAATAGTTTTTTCTTTTTTAGTAAAAATGCATACTTTCTTAGACATTGTGAAGAATTATATGATAGTGCGCAGTTGTAAATCGTTATCTATTTATATTTATATATATATATATATAATTTGGGGTGGGGTTTCAACTTTACATTTTGTGGTTGTATCAAGTATGAAATTGTCATTGAGCTATATGTATAATTACACCTTGTTTAGAAAATTGTATTATATAGCTTTCTTCATGTTAAACCATTTTAAGTAAATAGCATGCTTTAAAATAATAAGTGTGTTAGTTTACGTCCGTTTATTTTATTGATTTGAGTTTGTAATTCGAATTGAGATATGATTTTATGTGAGAGCTTTTTACTGTAGTAAAAAAGTTAGATGTGACTGTTTCTGAAAATATTTTATTATAATAAAACTTAAATTCTAAACTCAAATCGGTGAAGTAAACAGGACCTTAGTCACCAAAAGATCGCGACTTCTCAATGGCGATCTAGGATAGTAGCTCGACGGTGCAGTGCCACTCATGTTCTCTGACGATGTGATTTGTAGGCTTTGAGCTTCCACAGTCGCGAATTTTGCTATTTCACCTCCTGACGACGAGCTTCTCAAGACGGTCATGAATATCATGACGTGGGAGAGAGAGCGTAGAGATCGATGGAGAGAGAAATATAAGAGATCAAGGAAAAAAATAAGAGAGAGAGTTTTAATTTAGAGGTCAAATGGGGGTAATTTAAGTATTTATAGTACAATAAATTTGAATCTATAGATACCATGCTATTCACTAACTCTCTCTAAAGATTATGCTAGCTATTAATGCTTAAAAGTCATTAAATTATGTTATTTCCCACCTTCTCATTTATAGTTTTAAACCATTATTTTTTTAATAATTATTTTTTGGTAAATTTATATATTTTTTAAGTTTTAATAGTTACCAATATAATTTAATGATCCGAAACTAAACAATATTCATATAGTATTTTTTTTTTTACTTTATTATAACATTTTCATTATGAAAATTAGTGATTAGATTACAAATTGTCTTATCTTCTTCTTTCTTTTTTTGAAGAGACACTTAGATGCAACTCATCCTCTCTTATTATTTACTTTTTTAGGGAACTCATCCTCTATATTAATTCTTGCCTTTTATCAAAATTCTCTGTAATCAAATCTTATTTCTATTTTCTTGCATTCATACTACTGTAACCAACTAATAGATATCTTATATCTTATACCATAAAAAATAGATATCTTATTCTAAATAATAACAATCCTAATAATAATAATAATAATAATAATAATACTAATAATAATAATAATAATAATAATAATAATACTACTAATAATAATTATAATAATAATAATAATAATAATAATAATAATAATAGATACCTTTCACTACCAAGTAACCAAGTAATATAAGTGGACCAGCAAAAACCAAGTAATATAAGTGATTTATCTCAATTAGGTCAGAAAAATTGGCTAATCAAAGTAACACTATTTGTTTCTATGATTTAACCGTTTTTTTGTCAAAATATATACTCAAAATGGTTTCACAATGCTACTGTACTGTTATACCACATTTTTCACATGTTTAGGTCAGCATTAACGCTGACAAGCTGAGAGCACAAATTAGCTCTAACCCAAGACATTTAAGGAGCATTTAAATGATTTGATGGATACTCGGTGCTTTAGAGCCTCTAGCTTGGTTTTACAGCTCTCAGGTTAATCTTAAAGCTAAAAAAACAAAAACAAAAAACAAAAACAAAATACTCGCTCATCAAATAAAGGAAGAGAAAATATCACCAACACATTAGAACCTCATTCATTTCGCCGATTCGAGTCGAGAAGTAATTTTATGTGAGAACATTTAACTGTAGTAAGAAAAATTAGACATATTTTTTTGTAAGAACATTTAACTGTAATAAATCTGAAATTAAAAATTTGAATCACTGAAATAAATGAGGCTTAACTTTGCGACCTAGCTAGCTAGGCGAGCTCATAAATATGCGAGCTCGCCAATATACGAGAGTGAGCACAAAATGCTTTGTTAAGGAAGGTTTAAAAATGATACAAAACTCATTTTGAGAACAAAAATATGTGTTTAACAAAACACTTAAATAGAAAATCCAAGATTTAACAACAAAAAAAATGGAAATTGAGAAAATTTATTTAACGGGCAATTAGGATGAAATATTTATTAGAGGAATTGCATGAAAAGATTATTTAAATAGGGATAATTTGAAAAAAAAAAAAAATTTGAAAGGTAAAAATGAAGTTTTGAATAATGCCCAAGAGTAATTGTGAAGAAAACTATTCTTTTCACTATATAATTGACGTTTATACAAGAGATATATATAAATATACACAATTTGCTAACGGCTATAAAAGCCCATTTAGGAAAGACAGGATGGTTGATTGTGTCTGTTGGAGATGGCTATGTCTCACTTATATTGGCGTTTAATAGCTTGATATTTTCCTTTGATTAGTGCTCTGTGATTGAGGTCTCGTATCACCCCCCTTCAAGCTTGGCTGTAAAGGTAAATGAACGCCAAGCTTGTGACGAAAATCTTCAAACAAATCTTTGGGTAATACTTTTGTGAGTATATCAGCTATTTGTTTGGATGTATGAAGATAGCGTAGATACAGTGACCCGGTAGTGACTTTTTCTCGTACAAAATGACGGTCGATCTCAATATGTTTTGTCCGATCATAGAACACCAGATTGCAAGATAAGTGAATCGCACTCTTGTTGTCACACAAAAGCAGCGGACGTCTTTCAAGGTTTATGCCAATATCGTGAAGCAGATGTTGCAGCCACGTGATTTCTACAGTGGTAGTTGCTAAGGCACGGTACTCAGCTTCCGCACTCGAGCGCGACACCGTAGGTTGCTTTTTTTATGTCCATAAAATGCAATTTGAGCTAGGAAATATGCAGAATCCAGTTGTGGTTCGTCTAGTTATCGGACATCCGACCCAATCTGCATCACAAAAGGCATTAAGGGTGAGTGAGCTTTGTGATTAATATCGCACACCATAAGTGAGAGTTCCCTTTATATATCGCATGATACGCTTGGCTGCTTGAAGGTTCTTCATGGTAGGATTTTGGAAATGTTGGCAAACTAAGGCCTCGTTCACTTCACAGATTTAAGTTTTCAGTTTTAAGTTTTTACAGTAAAAAGCTCTCAGAAAATGTCACATCTAACTTTTTCTACTACAATAAAAAGTTCTCAAAAAAAGTCACATCTCAACTCGAATTAAAAATTCGAATCCGCAAAGTGAACGAGGCCTAAATTGATGGCATGTGTGAGATCATGTATAACGGGTAAAATCATCAATAAAGACCACATAGTATTGAAACCTTTGAGAGGAAGTAATTGGAGCCGGACCCATAAGTCACTGTGAATTTTCTCAAGAGGAGAATTTGAAATTGATTTTGATTAATTAAAAGAAAGTCTACAACGTTTTTCAAGTTGACAACTAGTACAAAAAGTATCCTTACTTAACCATTTGGAAACATTTATAACTTTTTTATTCTTTAAACATTTTAAAAATGCATATAATTAGGATGCCCTAAACGAGCATGCCAAACATCTGAGGAAGTTCCCTTGGTTTTGATAGCAGCTAAAGCTTCAATTCGTCCATCTTCAAGAGCAAATAATTTCCCTTGCCTATGTCCTTTGGCGATATTATCTGTTGCTTGGAATCCTTAATAACAAAAACCAGAAGAGTTAAATTCAAAGGAGCAAACATTATCATCAATGAGTTGGCTAGCAGATAATAAATTCTTTTTGATATTTGGGACAACAAGGACATTATTAAGAGCAAGTTTACCATTTGAAGTATTTAGTGAAGTATTACCAATATGAGT